ACGTGAAGGAAGATGCTTAGGCAAAGTTAGTCCTAATACATATTTATGGTCATGTAAAAAGGGTCATCAATGGGAGGTGCCATATAAAAAAATGAAACAGAATTACAGATGGTGTAATATTTGCCCAATATATCAGAAAGAACATGCCGGTATATATTTGAAGATTTATTACATAAAAATTTCCACTCTAAAAACCTAAATTCTTGGAGGATTTACACCTAGATGAATATAATGAAGAGCTAGGTTTGGCTTTCGAATATAGTGGTAACCAACATTATCAAATTGTGCCTTTTTTTCATCTGCAAGACCAAGTAAATTTAGATACGCAAATCTGGCGTGATTGGTAAAAAAAGGTGCTCTGTTATAGAAAAGGAGTAATTTTTATCACAATACCCTATTGCGTTGTTGATTTAGAAACTTTTATAAGGAGCACCTTGTACACATTCGGTTATCTCCCAATACTCACCTAGGAGGTAACATAGGCTCTTCCTTAATATGCATCAATTGTTCTTTCACGAAAGGCGTTGAGGTCCTGATTCATCTAAGTAATATAAAATAGGCATTTCCAACAACAATTCTCCGAATCTTATGCAGGCTAGGAGACCATATTGGATCTGTTATCCTGCGTTATTCTAAAGAATCATTTTCTCATTCTCCCTTAACAAGTAAGAATCGGACAGTAGTACCCTTTGGTAGTTGAAGTTCATTAATGCCTATTGGGCGATTATATTTTACCGATGGTTTGAAATATATTTGATCAAGTTTTGTGGTATCATTAGGGCTCATTCCAATCAATTGAGTTGGGCTATCATTCATATTATCAACAATTTTTCTTGCAAACTGCTCACATTCTCTACAGCGCTTGCCAGTAGGTAGAAGAAACTCTATCGAATACTGATTTTAAAAACTCTATATTTGAATAATCCAGCATAACAATCGATCATTGCGAAACTTGTATGACTGAAACGTGCTATAATCCTTTGAATATTAACATTATGTTCATCCATTATCAATGTTACGCTTCCCATAAACTCAGTGCCCTTATCACATTATAATTTTCGAGGCCAGTTGAGAGGATTGTCAGGATTATCATATAGACTCTTAAAAGCTTCTGCAACTTCTTCACTAC